AAGTGGGATTGCTGGGTCATAGGGGAGCTCTATGTGGAGTCTTTTGAGGAACCTCCATACTACTTTCCAAAGTGGTTGAACAAGTTTACACTCCCACCAATAATGCAGTAGGGTTCCCTTCTGTCCATATCCCCTCCAGCATCTGTTGTTATTAGAGTTCTTTATTATAGCCATTCTAACTGGGGTGAGGTAGTATTTCAATGTAGTTTTGATTTGCATTTCTTTTATGGCTAGAGAGGTTCATCATTTTTTCATGTGTCTATTGGCCATCCTTCTTTTCTCTTTGGAGAAGTCTCTCAAAGAAACAACTGCCCAATATATAAGTCCATGCTGTTTCTGCTGCACTATTTGCATCCCTGAGAGTTAGGGGAATTTAATATCAAAAGACTACAGAGTTAGGAACCTCATCCTGTGTGGCTCCTGTAAATGTCCTGGGTCAGGTTCTGGATAAGGAGACCAGGCTCAAAGCAGATACAGATGGAAGGACATCCTGGCAGCCAGGCAAGCATTCTTCCTCATTTTGTTTACACCTCTGTGCCTGCCCCGCCCCCTCAGCAACTGGCTGAACTTGGACTTGGATGTGATGAACTGATCACACCTGGGTGTGTTTACTTCTGAATGGTTTACTTACCATGCAAGGCAAGCTTCAAGGTACGAAGCACTTCTGGTGATATAAAAGTCAGTTTAAACTAAGTTTATTTATTTTTTATATTATATTATTTTATTTTTTGTTGGTCATGGGGCTGGGTGCTGTCCCTCCACTCTTCAGCTCAAGGCTAGCATGCTACCACTTGAACCACTTCTGGTTTTCTAGTGGTTTATTGGAGATAAGAGTCTCATGGAGTTTCCTGCCTGGGCTGGCTTTGAACTGCAATCCTCAGATCTCAGCCTCCTCAGTAGCTAGGATTACAGGAGTGAGCCACCAGTGCCCAGCTAAACTAAGTTTATTTTTTAAAGGGTGCTTTTTCACCCCTTATTTAACTCAGTAGTTTCTTAGCTGGTAAGAATGTAAGATCTAAAGTCCAGTAAATGCCACTGGTGCATGAATGGATATCCACCTCAGTATTAGCAGGCTTGCTATTGCCTGAAAGCTGTCTGACCATGCTGAATAAACACAGTCAAGTCCATGGAGTAAAAGCACTGATATACTTTCAAAGGGTGAAAGGCAGAAGTAAAGCCTTGGGATCTCCAATTCTTTGATAATGATGAACCAAAAAGAAAGAAAAAACCCATAGGCTGAGCAAGTAGAACAGAACACTCACCCTATGCAGACATTCCAGGGCTGGCTGCAATATCCCCGGAATGCAGGGCTGGCTGGAAAAGACAGGCCTGACTAACTCCTTACCCAACTGTATGGGGCTGAGCTGAGACTGGGGCAGGGGTGAGGATGAGAGGAAAGGGATGCTTGGTGCTGTGGATTCCTATCCCTAGAGCTGAGCAGGACAGGGAGGAGCCAGGGGCAAAAGGTAAGGGCAAGAAGTTGCTTTGGCAGAGTCTCAGGCAGAACTTGGGAGGAAAAAAGGATAAAAGGGGTTTTTGTGATGAGATATTACCTTCTATTTCTTCATGGACTAAAATGAAATATGAATTTAGTTGATCATTCTTAGAAATACAACTAAATCTGTGTATATAAATTGGTACGATAAGTGTTTGGAAAGCCCTTCAACCAGTAGAGTTAAACAGACCAAAA